ACTCCGGTTCGTCAAATTAAAATATAGCAACAACAGATCCGTAACTAGAAATTAGAGCATAATTCTTTTATATTCCCAAAAACTAAGAGCAATTAATGAAATGATTGGATGCAAACTATCAGTACTTCATCGTACCAGGAAGCAGATTTCTCATCTCCTCAAAATATTTATTTTATACCGAGAGGTTTAAAAGTTTAATCAAATCCAGTCAAAAGAAACGTCTTATTGCAGGAACGGATGAAGAGATGCTGAGTTTGGAAGCAGAGAACAAACAGAGTTCATACAAAACATGTAAGATCTTAGTTATTCCTGTTACAGAAATCCACAACAAAAAGAAAATATTTGGGCAGAAACTGAACATCTGCTGGATGATGATGGGATTTTTTTTAATATGTCATATTAAATTAAACGTTCACAGGGTTTATACAGGAATGACTAACTCTAATTTAACGCCTTTTAATGCTATTAGAAATAATTTTAATGCCATCAACAAGAACCATTTACATATATATAACCTATACATATATATATATATATCTATATATATATAGATATATATATATATATATAGATGGATAAAGAACACGGCAAAATCAGGCTGCAGCCATGTCTCAAATGCCTCGTTTTCCAGCCACTTTTGTTGATATTAGCATTTTTTCCCCGTTCTCTAGCTGTTTCTCCGACTCGACCTTCTTTTCCAAACATACGGCTTTATGATCAACTGCAAGCAGTTTAATCGGGATGTATTATATCTGATGAAATTGTCTTTATAAACATTTTTTTAAATAAATCATTTCAGATGCCATAAGATCACATTTAATCAGTGCCAATTAAGGCCTTAATTTAAAAAAAAATAATTTAATGACTTTTAATGATTTGTAATGATCTGCAGAAACTGGCTCTCCTCAAACTCCGAGGAAGTCGGAACGGAGCAGGACGGGAGGAACAAACGAGGACGTAGGCTTTGCTTTGCGCTTTCTGGAGAGCAGCGGGGTTGAAGCGGAGACGGAGGATGTGGGATTTGGGGGTTAATGAACACCCCACTGTGGTTCTGCTGCAGATGGCAGAGTCAGATTCACAGCCTCTAAATGAACGAATCACTAGATCGTCCCTCAGGCTGAACGTTCTCTCTTTACATTTCCATTAGTTGTTTTTCCATGATGAATGAAACATCAGGATTTGTTATCCTTCAGACCAGAGAGCAGCTCTTCACATCACATCAAGCCTGCAGCTTATATTTCTGTCACTTTTCTTGTTTTGAGGAAGTTGGTGACGCATAAAGCTGCAGCGTCATTGAAAAGAAGAAGTGAATCTCTGCAGACGAAGCTTGTTCCTTAAATGTGGTTTTATCATTTATTGCGGCTTTTAAAGATTTATGTTCAGATTTTCAGGAGATTTAGGCTACGTTCACACCGCAGCCTGAAGTGACCCAAATTCAGATTTTTTGGCCCATATCTAAATGTATTTGATCTTTTCATGTCAGTCTGAACAACAGAGATCCGATTTTTTCCAATGCGACCCAGGCCACTTGTCTCTGTGGTCCTGAATCCGATACGAATCTGATCTTTTCAAATGCGACCTGCATCTGAACGGCCAGGTGGCATTCATCCAACCTGAACGCCATTAATACCCAAAAAAGGTCACTATTCTGGGTCTTACTATAAAGAAGCGGCAAGAAAAACAACAACCATGGCAGACGATGATGCGGAGAGCAGCCTTTATGTTTAACCATCTTGAAAAGATTGTCTTTTTATGGTTGGGAAAGATCCCTAGATGCGCTCCGGCGTTACCATCCATGTTTACTTCCATAAACGCAGAGCAAGCTGACCTGTGGACGTCATTGCATCCTCTACTGCGCATGAATGAAACTGAATGCAGTTCACACAGGAGATTACATACAAGTCGCATATATTTGGAAATGTGAACGGCAACGAAACAAAAAAAATTGATTTCACGAAAGAATTGAGGCCTGCAGGGTGAAGGTAGCCTATGATGTGATGCATATAAATGTTGCTGATCAGCTGGTAATGGGTCAAAGGTCAGCGATGGGGCAAAACGCTGCAGGTGAAAACAGGAGCGGTCTTTCCCCGTGTTTATAGTGAAACTTTCTTCTAAAGAAAGGAACCGTCGGCTCCTTTAACACCCAGCCTGTCTGCCTGGATGCTGTCTGCAGGTGTTTGAGCGGATCCTCTTCATCTGGGCCATCCGCCACCCGGCCAGCGGCTACGTCCAGGGGATCAACGATCTGGTCACGCCATTTTTTGTCGTCTTCTTGTCCGAGTTTGTCAGTAAGTTGATTTTGGTTTAGTTTCTCCTTTAGATGCTGATTCCTTCCTGGTTTTTAAAAAGCTTTCTACTGATTCCACTTCCTCTCTAACACCTGCTGCTGTTTAGGATTATTAAGACATGCCAGGTTTTTCCAGCTTTAAGCTCTGCACTACGTGTCCCTGGAAAACTTTAATAAACTGCAAACAGTCTAAAGGATGCAATAAAATGATCGACTTTAAAACTATTGCCTTTAACCTGTAATTATTTTATATTTAAAGTCAAACAAAATAAAACAAACTGCAAATCTGAATCAGTTATTCAGTTAATTTTGCTGCGCCGCTAACGTTAACCATGTTAGCGCTGATATCAGCCAGCATTCTGTTTGCTGCTGAGGACGATTTGGTCCCACGGTTCAGGTGCTGCATGCAGATTAGGATTTATTTATTTTTCATTGGAGAAAAAACGATTGATTTTCTTAAAGGGGTCATAGAATGCAAAACAGTTTCCATTGTCATAGATGAATAACGATAGCTCAGTGGGTGAAATAGACGTGCAGAGAAGTTCAACACCTCATTTCTCTGCAAATCTCACTATTCTAAAAATTCACCATAAAACGGGCGAATCCAAACGAAGCACAGAGTTGACGTAAACTCCGGGATTTTGCCTTATTTTATTCTGGCCTGGACTTTTGTCATGCCTGAAATTGACATCCAGACCAGCCCACTGGTTCACGGCCCAAGAACATGAATAGAGGTAGATGGAAGAAGTTTAGCTGTTTAGCCAACAGTTGGGTTTACTTCTAAAACAATTACAAAGCAAGGAGTTTCTCTATTGAAAATGAGCCAGAGCCACGGGTCTAAATCCAGCGTTCCAGGCTGACCAGACAAAGGGGAACATTTTCACAGTCTTCCCAAAGACTCGACGGGCATGGATTATTATTCTTGTCTATGAGAAGATCCCTGCGAAGTTTGATGCTCAGCTGTTCATTTGCTCGAAGCATTTTACCGAAGAAAGCTTTCAGAATCTTGGACAGTTCAAAGCAGGATTTGCTAAACTTCTTTCACTCAAACGAGGGGCTGTTCCCACTGTGTTTCCATCACAACTGCAAGCTGGAAGTACGATTCTGTCGCTAAGCTGTTGATAGCAATGCTAGCAGATCTATGGTGACCAGATTTGGGTCTCTGAGGAGGACTGGACTAGACCGGGCATCAGATCCGAGCCGTCAGCTTCGGGTCGCCACAGCTGACGGCTCGGTTCTGATGCCCGGTCTAGTCCAGTCCTCCTCAGAGACCCAAATCTGGTCACCATAGATCTGCTAGCATTGCTATCAACAGATTAGGGACAGAATCGTGCTTCCAGCTTGCAGTTGTGATGGAAACACAGTGGGAACAGCCCCTCGTTTCAGTGAAAGAAGTTTAGCAAATCCTGCTTTGAACTGTCCAAGATTCTGAAAGC